ATAAACATTTATAATGACAGCAGTCTATTACGTTTGGCCAGTTTCAGGGACATGGTTTAGGCCCTTGGTTACAATGACAAGTTAAACTGTGTGCTGTTAAAACTGTGTATTGTTATAAAATATAGAACATTGTTATTTCTGACCTGGAAGAGCTCTCGGACCTCTTCAGTGTTCAGCTCCAGTCTGATCAGAGGAAGTTTAAGGGCTGCGGCTTGTTTACATTTCTCCTCCACATCACTCAGAGACAAGGCACTGTGTGGAGAGGACAGAGACACGAAAACATCAAAAGCAATACGTGATCAGACTTGGCGGCAATGAAAATGTTGTTTTTAAAAGGCTAAACAAGACCTATTGTGAATTTTGGGAATCACTACAACTATTTTGTCTTTACAAAGCTCTAGAGTTACTGGAAATATTTAGATAAACCGAGTTGGACACAATCTAACGTAGTCAACCCTGGTATCGAATTCTAAGAATAGCATTATAATAATAACATTATGTAGCCTAATCTGTTTCATAATTTTGCTAAATATACTGGGATTATTCAGAATAAATAGGCATGCAAAAAATGTGAAAAGCATCTGAATGTTGTTTGAATGTCAACATTATGAATGAAGTCCAAGTATTAAGCAGAATTTAGGCTAAATTGTTAAAGCACTCTAGAAATGCAAGTGGTCCACACAAAGCCAGATGTTGAGACAGATTGTGACGGCTCACCTGTTTTCCAGTAGATGGTCGCAGTAAAGCCCGAGCTCTGACGCTCCTTCTCTGCAGACCTCGGCACCGAACACCGTCTGCAACACTCCGCTCAGGACGCAGGCTCCTGTCCGCCATGCTGCCTGAGAGAGGGAGGGTGGTACAGAGTAAGTGTGGAGATATAGAGCGTGTTTTAAACAGTTTCACTAACATAAAAACATCTTAATATCTTCAATTGGAATCCAGTAATTACTAAGATGTTCTTCAGTGCCTTTAGTAAACAAAAAAAACGTTTTTAATTACTTGTTCAAGCAATATTTGAAACACAATCATAAATATCCAGGAGTTACATTGGCAACGGGAATGTGAAAAGAAGTCTGAAATGTTTAGCTTATTAAAATCCACCTTAAAAGGCAATGTGAGAATGAAAGCACGTGCAAAGTGATTACCTGTCTCCCCTCATCTGTGTCAAACCCCAGCAGCTGTAGTTCACAGTCTGCCTCTAGGGGCCGTCCAAGTTCCCACAGCTCTCCATTCACCTTACTGACCAGCGTTCCCTTCACACTGCAAAGAGATGCAAAAACAATGTTATATCCCTTTAGTAAGAACAAACACAATACGACATTAGATAATTATAACATTTGATTTCTGCAAAATGTATTTACCGGGAGCTCTGAGCAATAAAGAGAGGTGTGGTGACACCGGCTGTTGCCTTTACTGTCCGGCCGTCAGCCAGTTGGATACTGAGGCGAGTTTCTGCAGCTTCAGCTCTGCTCTTATTGCCTTGCTTTTCTCGAAGGGACTCAAAGACCCGCAGTCGCTCAGATAAAGCCGAGCACACCTGTAGGGACAAAGGAAACATTTAGATCAGGATTAAAAAAAGGTAGAAAAGATGGCATCTGTAACACTGTGAATATTATGACCTTCATTAAGTGTATTTACTGCTAGGCTGTTGTACTAGAATGCATTAGTTCAACCTAACTGTAATTAATAAACCAGTAACATAGTGTGCATTGTGCAGTAATAATTATATAAATACATGAAAAGTCTTAAACAAACTTTATGATTTCCTTCTCATTTATGTTCACTCACTCCTAGTTTACTTCAGTTAATAGATGACAAACTGAAAACAACAGCCATACACCAAATTATGAATTGTTATTATTATACGAGGACTACTTTACTCCTACTATATTAGGGAACCAAATGTGAGCAAGGAAGCAGACATGTAGGTAAGATTGGGTTCATTTCACTTATATAACACTGTACTGTATATTAACTACATCACAAGTATGTCCAGAAACCCAGTACATGTCCTATCAACTGAAAATCACATTAAGCCTCAAATCAACAAGGTGCATCCAAGCACAAAAAGCTCCAGACATGTGTTAAGTGACTCGCTTAACACAGTATTGTTAGAAAAAGTAATAAATTAATCAAAACAGGAATTTCCTTTTACACATCACATTAATGATGTTCTTCGCACTAACTTTATAATCCACTTCTTATTTACATTAAATTGTATACGAACAGCTGACACCCAGCCACAGCCCAAATGATCAATTTGGAGGTATTCAATAAAAATATTTTGGGTATTGGTAAATAAATTACAGTGTAACAAAGTACATTTACTCAAGTAAATGTACTTAAGTCAACATTTAGGAGACTTCCTCTCTACCTGAATATTTAAATGTTTTGATTTGATTTTACTTCTCCACTTCACAGATAAATAATGTACGTTTACTCTTAATAACTTTAGTTGCTTTGCAGATTTGGATAATTAATGTGAAATATAAACAAGACTTAAATGAGAAGTTAGTTACACCTGGAGTTACATTCACAATCCACCCTGCAGTATACAAACTACAAAGTGATTAAAACTAGCTGGACCTTTACCAGCTTTAATAAAACATGAATGCATCAATAATTATAATTAAAACATAATATATATTATTCTGAAATGGGCGAATTTGCACGAGTACTTTTACTTTTGGTGCTTTAAGAATTGTTGATGCTAATCATTTTGCACTTTTACTCGAGTAACATTTTGAAAGTAGGACTTTTACTTGTCAGTTTTCCTACACTTTCTACTTTTACTTAAGTACACGACCTGAGTACTTCTCCCACCTCTGAAATTATTACAGGTATACTTCAAGAAAGTACCAAAACATGTTAAATATACAAGTCAAAATGACATTTAAAATAGAGATGAATAAGTGTTACACAGCAGTCTCACACACTTGATCTCTCTACCTCTGCACACTGACACTGTTAGCTAGCCTTAGCTGTCACGCGAGTTACTGTACAGTAGAAAGGACAAACTCGCGCACCTGGCTGTACCTCCTGTGCACGCGAAGTGTCGCACGAGCTGCCGAGCGACAGACAACCAGTCTAAACAGCTGTGTCACCGCCATCCTAAACACACTCGGTCATTTCCAAATATCACACATTTCTGTCACCCTTCTGTGAGCGGCCATAACACCGGAAGCACAGATTAGGAAGTACGCGCTGACGTTGTGGGCGTAAACATATGACGCTGCTATGAAGCTCAGTGCGTGCGCGCATCCACATGAGATCTGCACATACGGGAGCTCTGCAGTTGTTAGAGGGCTAATAGAGCCATGCACATGCAGATCAGGAGTTTCTCACATATTTAAATATGATGAAATATAAACGAAACATTGCATTTAAAATCCGGGAGTTGGCGACAGGTGAAACATAACACAAGCTCAGCTATAACCACAGGACATCAGCTAAACTGCGCCAGTACTTCAGTGATCCACTTGTCACAGTATTTTTCAGAGACCTGCAGCATCACGACTGGCAGCCAGGCTGAACAGCACAGTCGATGCTCCATTACGGAGCTGCGCACTTTGCTTTAAACCCCGCCTGATAACTACAGCTGCATTAAAAGCCTGGTTAGCGCCCGATGCATTTGAGATCAATTACTAAATCGAATAAGTCTTACTCAATACAGTTTATATATACCCCGTAAGAAAGCAATCTACATCATGTTAAGCCTTCCCAGCGGATAGTAGAACAACAAAAGACGCAATGTAAAAAGTTAAGAAATGTTAACTACATGCATTAATCATTCAATAGTATCTTGAAGTAAAGACTGTCAGGTGGACTGCTATAGCTAGGTTAATTATTAACTTAAATCTGACATGGGAAGATAATCAATTTGAGCTTTCAACATTTTTGGAAGAATAAGCACAGCACAAGAGGCACTGCAGTAACAGCAGTGCATGATGGAGGTCTGTCATTGACCTGGAGTAAGAGCTGAAATACCACTTAACTGCCACTAAGGGGAGCTAAATGACTTTCAAGAGGTTTATGTTCCATCTTCAGTCAAAAATACCAACTATTATCAATGTTAAAATACATTTAAGCATCTAATTGTATAAAAATACCGTGCATTCAGAAAGCTCTTACGTTTTTATCTGACTATCCACTGTTAACTGGCCACTTCCAGACAGTTTTACTGGAACCGATTATAGTTAAACTCTTTATGGATGTTTAAACGTGGGACCCTTCACTATTTGCCATTATTTTCACTATGTACATGAAATACACTAGACGTTATACTAGTTTGTGTGTAGAGGTTTGGTGTGAGAAAACAAGCAGAGGGTGGCCTTTGTCAGATAACAATACAAATGAGAGCCGATGCATTTGCCTAATGATAAAAGTATTTCACAATAAAGCCCTAACTTGTCTGTACAATTAACTATCAGCAACTGGTTACTGTGGAATAGGGGCACAGAGGCCACCATGACGTTTTTTTCTTTAAATGTCTGGTGTAGCTTAAAATATGCTGCAGCATCATGAATGCTGACATTTTAAGATTAAAACATGTTATGAAAGTGTACAGCCATTGCTTAGTTCACTGGAAGTGGGTCATCAAGCTGTTTCTGTGTCACAATGTATTAAGTGAAATCTGTAAATGGAGCCAATGTACCACAATAGTCAATATGTAAGGCTAAAGCTGAACTCAATAGTGTCACAAATTGGCATTTCTAAAATGTGGATCTCAAACAGTGCATTGTAGTGCAAATATGTTTAGCAACAATCAAAAAAAGGTTGAGGATTTTGCAAAAGGAGAAAGTCAGAGCAAACAGGAAATCGCCTCCATTGTTAATTTAAATGGTGCCCCAACTGCTTACAGTCAACGGTGCCACCAGAAACAAAATGAGGGGTTTTCTTAAAACTTGAGGAAAAACCAACTCAATGAAAGCACTAAAAAAATGTTGTCTCCCGTATGGATTCGTCAATGTGCTTTGTGTAAAAAAAGATTTAAAAAAAAATAAGAAGCTGTATACAGCTATGCATATTTTAACTGTTCCAAAAATATAATGAGTGCATGTTCATCACACCAGAAAGGATTGGACACTCAAAGACCTGTGTAATAGCATCATTGATGAGAACAGCAGAAATTCAACTTAGCAAATATTCACAGACCATCATCTTCGTCACATCTTCAGTCAGTTTCAAACGTAATTTGTCATAGAGTTAACAGAATGGGGTTATTTACAGAAACAATTGAAAATGTGGAACTTGGTAGCTGCTTAGTGAGGGAACAATACATCTAGCTTTCTCGCTGTGCATCATGAACACACCAAACTGATTGGATATTTAGCTGTTTCGATGAGATAAAAGACAGACAGTTTACAGAAGGTGGTAACAGACTTGTATAACATTCAATGACACATCGGACTCTGATGATCTGCCAACACTGTAGTGACAGATATGCTCTTCATGGTTACATTTTTACAATGTATCTAACTTCATGGGGTGCTCAGTGTTTCTTGATGAACTGTAAATGAGCACAGGAGAGACCACAAACTCCATGATCACACAAAACACAGGACACACAAGGCTTTGAGCAGCAGTTCCCACCATGCACCTCTCACTGGGGAGGGAAACTACATCAGTGTAGAACAGAGGGAAGCATTACGGCAGTAACTCCTGTAAAAGAAGGAGGATTACTGCCATTGTGCCCCTTTTTTTTTTACCCTCAGAAGTGTTGAGAGGGGCACAAGTGTTTATGAACAAAGCCATTGTGAGCACAAGATAAGCACAGGGGTTTGAGGGCAAAAGCATGAAATTAGCAAAGAAAAAAACAGAGGAAGGGGCCATAATAACTGGAGTATTTAAATAAACCATTTTCAAAACAACCCTTATTAGCTCATATGTTTTCGCCCCCTAATGCCACCTGTGGGCGCTGTTGCAAACGGGAAATTGCTAAATCTATTAGAAAAATACCATGCCAAAAAATAATACTTATGCACTATGAGAATGGCAGCAGCTATGTAAATATATGAAAACAAATTCTCAGAAATCAGCTGTACAGCGCAAAAAAATTACAACAGCGCAATTCAAGTGATAATTAGTGACCAAATAAAACCTCCCCCCCCCAGTTGAATTGAAACTCTGGATTTTATTCAAGTCAGTACATGATGAAGCCTAGCAAGAGTGTGTTTCAGAACTGAAAAACCTCCCCCCCACCCGCCATCCACTACCGAGGGTCTTCATGACTCAGTCTAATGTGAAGCCCGCATAGGCAGACAAGTATGTTGAAATAAAAATACATAATTATCTTCACCCTCCTCTTCTGCATGGTGGTTTCAAAAGGAGGACAGAAAGGTGCGACAGATACTGCAGAGAAATTCTTCTGAAGCTAAAGCTTAGCCGAGGCCTCAATCACAGTAAAGACGGGGTTAAAAAATGACCATCATTGTCCTCATTAACAGAAATAAGAGCTTGAAAAGAAAAAAAGCTGTGTCATCTCAGATTTTATATTTACAAGTTTAGAAATATACAGTGGGAGAGATGGGAGGGTGAAAAAGGTCGAGCAAGAGAACAATATTATTTACAGCAGGAACAAAAGCTGCAGAACCAGTCTCATCACTTCTAATGAGAAACACCATGTTAGCACACACAGCACACAGCCACACACTCATGAATGGAGATATTCATTTGGAAACTATTTATAATTTTTAAGGAATAATTGGACACTTTAGGAAATATGGTTATTGGCTTTGTCAGATGACATTATCTGGGTGTTAAATAAGATGCAGAATCAGGGGCACAGTTAGCCCGTTTCTGTCTGAAGGTAACTAAATAATAATGTCTTGTGGCCATGGGCTGTGACTTCCTGAAGTCTTGTTGCCATGAAATTGTCTCACATATAACCCCCATTACAAATAATTTGACATTTTGTACAGATTAAACATTAGCGTTAGAGGTGGTAAAAGATGGCTTATTGACCTTCAGGCAGATCCAGGGTAGCTGTCCCCATTTCCAGTTGTCATGCTAAGCTCTAGCTTTTAATTTACTGCACAGATGTGAGAGTGGTTTTGATCTTCTCATACAGCCTTCAGTTAGAGACAAATAAGCCTATTTCCCAAAATGTCAAACTTAGACCCATACATCTCTCTCTCTCTCTCTCTCTCTCCCCTGCTCTATCTCTCAGTTAACTCAACAATCACACAGGCAGGCAAGCTCCAAACTAAATAAAGTTTAATATCTGCTTGAACTATCTGTGTTTTTTTGTGTTAGACAGGAGTTGGAGAAATGGATAAAAAAGGAGGGAAAGATTGAAGGTTGTGACACAACACTATGTAACTGCTAACCTCAAAGCTGCACTGTACAGTGTAAGAAGACTGGCTGGCTACCTAGCTGAAGCATAAAGATTAAATCAGCCATTTACACACAACCTAAGGTAGTTTTAATTCAAGCTAATTAACAGAGTAACGGTATCTAGGCTCATACCAGCAGGGCTAACACACACTCTGCTCTTCAGGGCAGGGCGCTTCACTTCTCATTCAGCATGTGATAGACGACCACTTCAGTATCGTGGGGGTAGGAAGGGTCTCTTCTGCGAATGGAAGGGACCACCTGTGAATGGAGGACCCTGCCGCTTGCCCCCTCGATATCCCCCCCGGGGTCGGTCCTGGTTAAACTGCTGAGAGGGGGTTCGGCCTCGCTGCATAGGTCTCTGTTGGAGGGAAACTGGGAGAATCGGGGGTAAGTTAAGCAGGGGAACGGGGTTGGAGGTGTGGTTGCGGGAATGAGCTGGAGGACTGGTGGGAGGGCCAGAGGAGTGAGCAGGGTGGCGAGGGGGGTGGGAGTCGAGTGCAGGGGGATTGGGGGTGGAGGGAGAGGGTGTAGAGCATGTGGGAGAGGGGGGAGGAAGAGGTAGATTGAGAGGCTCCTTCACTCGGCCCAGCAAGGGAAGAGGAACACCTGGGCGGTGCAGGAGGGGGGCATGGCGGGGGCCAAAAGGCTCTTTAACTGTACCAGGACGGGGCAGCTTGGGGGGCTCACCTAGCAACGAGGACATGAGGGGTGGGGGGGGCATTTTGTTTCCTCTGGGCCCCATTCCACCTCGCTCTACACCTTCAGGTCTCAGTGGGAGGGGGAGAGAAAGGGGACGGTCGATAGGGACCAACACTCCCCCTACCATGACTGCAGAGGGCACAGAATGGTGGGAAGGTGGAGGGGAAGGGCGCTGGGGTATGGGAGGCGGAGGGGGTCTGGGGATGGGTGGAGGAGGGCCGAAAAAATGGGACGGGGGAGGATGCTGGTGGAGATGGGAGGGGGGAGGAGACTGGATGTTCTCGGGGTGGTAGGGCATTTGGAAAGGAGGAGGGTGTGCGTGGGGGTGGGACGGAGGAGGGTGGAGATGTTGGTGGAGGAGGTGAGGAGGGGGAGGAGGCATGGAGGGGCTCATGTCGTCGTTTCCAATGTTAAGAGGAGGTGGGCCGTCGTGGGGGGAGGGAGACTGAGCGTCCATGTATTCCTCCTCCTCGTACCACATCGCTCCCCCTGGTCGAGCGCCGGCCACTCCCCCCCGCCGGGAGTCTCGGACAATCAGGCGGATGCTCTCCACCGTCTTGATGCGCTCCCCGGCGTGGGGGCGGTTCGAGTAGCCGAGAGTTTGGATCGGAGCCCCTTCAGTGCAGGGGGACACTAGAGTCTCAATGCGATGGTACTGGCCCTCCTTCCCCTTCCCCCCCGGAGACTCAGGACCCTCTCGTTTCCCCCCCTCCTCCGACCCGCTGCTGGCCCTACGAGAGCCTGCTGAGTGTTTCCGTTCACCGTTTCCTCTGTTGTTTCCCATGATCTTCAGCTGGTGTCCATCTTTCTTACCCTTCATGTCACTACTGGGAGAAGAGGAGACCTGCTTCCTCACTGCATCGTCCTTTGATTTTGTGGCCCCCTTTTTGTCAGCTCCATACCGAGAGGAGGAGGAGGAGCTCAGAAAGTCTCCATTGCTGCTGCTCCCTGACGGGGTGATCACAGCGTCCCAGGGTTCACTGCGGTAGGCTGTGGGTGAGAGGGTATGACCTCCAGATGACCCTAAAGACTCTGGCACACTCCCAGGTGTGTCCATGATCTCGTCCTGGGTGGGGGTGCCAGCGGCCTCGTCTCTCACCGGGGTCCCGTCCACCCCGTCGGGACTGCCATCACCCAGGGCGAGACTGAAGCCGGGGTTACCCTGCAGGAAACTGTTGATTTTTGATTCCAGGCTGGGGGGGGAGACAGAGGGAGCTGAGGTACGAGGAGGGGGCGGAGGAGGGGGAGGAGACAGCTTCCTCTCTTTCTCCCAATCTCTGCTCCTCCCAGGTGTGTCTCTTTTGAGGCTGTTCCCTATGGTGGGTTTTGCTTTTGGGGTGGTGGGGGAGAGCAGGGTTTTAACTGCTGAGGATTCTGGGGAGGTTCGGGTGGGAGTAGCAGAGGAGTTGTTTGACACACTCTGCAGGAGAGAGGACAAACCTGCAGGTGGGGAGCCAGAGACAAAAGAGATGACAAAGAAAAAGTGACATATTAGTTATTGTTTATGTACATTCTTTCATTAAAAGGGAATGTATTAGTGTGTTTTCTACATGCGTCTTACCTGGTGTGTTTGTTTTAGTCAGAGCATTGAGTATGCCTTCAGGTGTGATGTCAACTCGTGACAGGATGCTCGCCAGGTGAGGGCTCGAAGAGGTCGCTTTGGAGGCTGCTGGTTGGCCAGAAGGAGTGGTGGGGGTTCCTGGAGACGGGCGAGGTGAGGAGCTAGCTGCTGGAGACATTTTAAAGACAGAAAATAATAGGTTTAAAAAAGGGAAGCGCAGAAATTCCGAGTTAAATCAAACAATAATCCAAACTAAATTTCCCTGTGCTACATACATTGTTAAAGTATTTCAACTCTATTACTACAACCAAAGGGTCCTTAATAATTTATACAATACCGCATACCTAATACCCATTTATTTGTACAGTTTCAGACAGTTTGAATATGGCATTGTATATTAATTTAATGTATAAGTTATTAGTTATTTCAAACTAATAGACAGTCAAATATTAACCACCTTAAAACATGAATTATGTAGTGGTCATTGTACAATTTCTTGTATATATATTTTTTTAATTACTGTACAAACCCTTTGATGCTACTGTGGAGGAACACCGATTTCAGATAGCGACACATCTCCTCGAGGCCCAGAAAGAGCAAATACTAATTCATTTGTACTTTTCTTTGGACATGACCATGTTACATTTCGTTGCAGGTTCTGATCAGTATAATGGCGCATTTCCACTGCAGCGCGTAGCTCGGTTTAAGCGTGCCATGCCAAACCCGGCACGTTTTTTGTTGCGTTTCCACTAGGGGTAGTTCCGGCTAACGGGTACTTTTTCACAGTTTTTCTGGCCCTCCAAAATCGTGGCTACAACTACAACAAAATGAACATATTTTACCGTGATTTAATTGTAATACCCGTTTCAAAATGATGCCGAAGTAACAACATACTGATACCGGTTAGTAAAAACCATGAATTAATGCTTTGACAAGTCTGCAGACAGACGGCAGGCGAAAAACCTTTTAAAATGCGTGTTTTCTGAATGGAGATTGGCTAAGCTAACGCAGTATATGCTCCGACCGTCCACACTCACAACAACGGCCTATACAGACATAAATGAACCAGCGACTGTATTCGCCATGACACAGGCAGTTTGTGGTGTGTACTTGTTTAACTTTTGTCTAGTTTCTGAACAGATATGAGGAGCTGTGAGCTCTGAGTGCTAACAGCTAACGGCTGATGTTTGTTTTGTGTTTCGCATTGAAGATGACGTCACGGCTCCGCCTACAATGCGTTACTATAGTTACTGCCCCAGCTACTAAACTGTAATGGAAACGCAGCATAAAGTGAGCCTGGCCTACCAAGGTCTAACTATACCGTACTAAGCCGTGCGAGGCCCTGCAGTGGAAAGGCGCCATAACACTCATCTTCACCCAGCCCTTGAACACACCTGTATTCTTCATGGCAGATGTGAGGGAGCTCAGAATGGAGCTGATCTTCCCCAGGTCCACCTTGTCCAGATTGACTCCCATTGTGGTTACTGCGGCGCTTTGAGCAGCAGCAGAGGTGGGAGTCAATGGGGTTGCTGTGGCAGTAGCAGTGGTGATGGTCTTCGGAGCCTTCGTCGGTGTGGAGGGAAGCTTTGATGGTGCATCTGACTTTGCAACAGCAGTGGACGGATTGTCCTTCTTGTCACCTGCTAGTAAATATAATCAAAAGCCGATATATTGACAAATCTGAATCACAACTGGGCAGCCACATATGGATCTACATCAGACACTTTTTTACGCTGCTATGGACAATCTTGCACTAATGTACATTCCCAAAGGTATTGAAATGACTGTTATTTTGTATATATTGATTGTTGTGTTTTTTATCTTAATATGTGCATATGTATAAATGTGTCTGTTGATCCATAGGATATACATATTTGTATTTTTATATTCGGGATTGTGGGAAACGATATTTCGATCTCTATGTCTGTACACACAAACTGGAAGATTGACAATAAAGTTGACTGACTACATGGGAAAGACTATTATTGACCCACTGACCCTCTGCTGTGGCAGCGTCAGCCTCTTCATCAGACAGTTCCATGTCTTCCATGTCCTCCATGTCCTCCATGTCCTCCATGTCCTCCATGTCTCTGCTGTCATTGGCATTCTCTCCTTCATCCATGGCCTTGCCATCCAGCTCTGGGTCCACCTGGGCCCTGATGGACCCCAGTCCCATGAAGGGGGAGTCAGAGCCGGTGGGAGAGGGGGCGTCTTCTGAGGGGGAGGGGATGGGAGAGTCCTCAGATCCAGGTAGAGTCGACTTGAGGGAATCCAGTTTCCTTTTAAGACTAGCCACACGGTTGGCAAAGGCATTGTACGCCTGGAAGTTGTCAGAAAGAGAAGGGAGGAATAAAATGGGAGATATAAGAACGATTATTTTTAGGAACAATTTGTGAGATCATTTTCCCAAAGGATACCAGGAACAATGAAAGATGTCTGGGTCACCATTTTCGATAATGCATTTTCCATTAAACAGAGAAAATGTGCAATTTACCATGAATCAAGTACCTATAATGTTTTGCTGAATCACTGTTAACTTCAATCCACAGAAACAAAATCATGATTTTGGCATAGCAATCTCTCTGAAAGGGGATCGGAACACTTACATTGGCCACGATCTTAACCTCCTTGTACTGCATCTCGTAGAAAATGTCTGCATTTCCCAAAGCTTCCAGCAGAGGAGTCCCTGTCGTCAGCTCTGTCTCCATGAAGCCCACAAACTCCTGCAGCTTCAGACTGCCTTCCTCAAAGTCCGTCGCAAACTTGTTCCCTCCAGCCTTGTCTGGAATAGGACACAGTTAATGAACAAGCAAAAAGTAAAAAAAAAGGTTTATACATATTTCATATGGTTCATCCAAGACATCGTGAACGATTCTTGAATAGTGTTCAGACTTTCTCGCTTGATTGAGAGAAACCTCGGTAACCTCTTGAGACCGTAATATATATCAACTCATTGCCAATGCCGCTTCTGCAAAAAGCATCCCTGCACCTCTATAATTTTCTATTAAAGAAAGGTTACACACGTTTTTGTTTGTACCATCACTAATAGGCTTTGTAAAAAATTGAAATCAGCTACTAAAATTGCAATCGTTGCATCTTAAAATCACTTTAAAGTATGACTAAAATAAATGAAAAAAAATAAGTCTGGCTGATTTATCTGCATTTAGGTAATCAAACTACTAGGAAACTACAGAGCCAGTGCAAAAAACCTTTGTAATGACTTCTGTTGACATATTTATTAAATAAATGAGCTGGTGCTCAATGCATCAGAATATAATATATCTCAGCAGCAAATATAATATATCTCAGCAGCAAATATAATATATCTCAGCAGCAAATATCTGTGGAAGAAATATTCTCACTGCTACACCTCTACTGGGTTGTGTTAATTCCTGCACTTGACCTGAAGAGGACACATCAAGTGACAAGTCTGTATGTGGTCCAGTGGTTCTCAAACTTTTTCTGTCAGGCCCCCCCTTTGGAGAAAAAAAAAAGTCGGGCCCCCCCAACACAAATAGTCAGGCTCAGAGATTTATTTTGGGGGTGCTGTGGGGTAGCTTGACGTGGGGAACCATTTTTCCTCCTGGTCTCTCGCGCCCCCCCTGTCATGCCTCTGCGCCCCCCACTTTGAGAACCACTGATGTGGTCTAATACATACAGTACAAAGGACAATGAGTGTGTGTGATGATGCAGAAATGGGCCCAGTGACCTCTGACCTTTCAGTCTCTTGAGAGCCTCTGTGCTGCAGACGTCCACCCTGAGAGCTGCCAGCTGGTTCTCCCTGAACTCCTCTTCTGCAACCACCTGCTTATATTTCGACAACTGATCGATGAGGGACTGGGGCTGGAAAAGAAAGAATGCAAAGAAATTATTGACAGTATTTCAAATGTTTTAGACGGTTAAACACAACATGAAAGACAAAGTAATGCAGGACAACACCATGGTTGCATTCGAATAGTCCATTTAGCTTAGGAACCTTTCTAACGGAGTGAAATGACCCGGAAGTCCCTCAGTGGCAGCCATGATAAGTGCCGTTCGAATTCTCTAAATGAAAGGAAAGGAGGTTTCAAACTTCCTTTATAACCTCCTTTAGCTTAGGAACCACTGGACCTCCCTCACCGAGAGGAGAGGAGAAAATGCTGCCCCACAATGCCTTGCGGCCGCAGCATTTGCCGTCACACAACAGTCGGCCGTTCACGGAAACAACCGATTATGAACGAGAAATGATATCATGAAAGTTACGGTGCTTCTTAAGCATTTTAAAACGTATGTGGTGAGTTGCCAAAGTGCTTTGTTTTGAACGTTCATCAGTATTATAATCAAAAAGAGAAATATGAACGTTAGTTTTTACTGAAATGATCAAATAAAGTCAACATTTCACAGTCTTTACTGAGCTGTGTGGGGTTTGTTCAACTTTTAAAAGATGTTTGAATGGTGATATACACAGTGATAGATGTTAAGGACTAACGTTTATAATAAATACATTTGTATTGATTTTAAGATCTTTTCATACAATTATACGTATTGGGATCATTTGTATTAATGTGGACCGGAGGGAGAGGGTGACGAGCATAAGTTTCACTTTCCTTTTTTATTTCAATTCCAACTTTGGTCATGAAGAATATGTTTCTCTGTTGTCCCTGTTCATAAAGCATAAAACAACAGCATCAGAGCACGGTGCAGAGTCTCTAGATGAGTTTACAGTAGTCCCTCGTTCTTATTAAACATCCATGTTGTAGTCCGCTGTATAGAAAACTGTAGTTTCCATAGTTTCCCCACAGCAGCAGGCGCACATTTATGACCTCCGCTGGCGCATCATAAACACGTCGGATAGTGAAAGTGCAGTCGGATTCTCTAAAGTGCCGCAGTCTCTTCTCCTAAATCCTTTTGAATTCTCCTATCCACTATCCCTTAACCCCGTGACGTTTCACACAGAGGTCAAGGGATAGACGATAGGGTTAGAACTTAGGAGCTATTTTTTTGGAGTATTCGAACGCAACCTAAGAAACAAGACTCACGGTGAACTCCGCTAAGATCTTGGACTTCAGGGCAGCTTTGGTGTTGGCTGGGGCTACACAATAAGAGGTAAAAAACGTATTAACATACAACCATAATTGCAACTGTTCAAAATGTTAAAATAAAGGATTATGCCAATTTTAGGAAGTTATTAAACTTTTGATTTTATAACATGACCACTACTGACCAGTTGCCGGGGGCGTCTCTTTTTCTTTCTCCTTTTCTTTTTCCTTTTCCTTTTCTTTCTGCTTCTCCTTTTCCTTCTTCCTTTCTTTCTCTTTTTCCTTCTGCTTCTCTCGCTCCTTTTCCTTTTTGTTTATGCCAGCCTTAAACCCGGCAATGACCTCCTCGGGATACACGCTCCTCTCCTCCCAAATCGTAAAAATCCTCTCCACTGACTTGCGGACCTTCGGATCTCTGAAAATAATGCAAAATGGAAACACAAGACGATTTATTTTAAACACGAGAAGATTTAGCATTTCTTACTTGCAGCTCGGACATTTGAGTTATGTTGGTCCAATACTACAGCTGAATAAAAACTGTACTCACCTGATGAACTGAGCAGCGTTGGGAAGGACCTCTGCAAAGGACGCACGAAAGACGATAGCGTTCTTTCTCTTGCAGTTCTGTATCACATCGTTTGCAACGTAGAAGAGATTCAAGCGATGAGGGTTGTCAGCTGAACAAACAAAACAAAGAATAAAGGATTAGATTCCCAGGGCTTCCTAATCTTAGAAATAATTAAACATGTATAAAGTTTATTAGCATTATGTGGCCGATTCAGATATTCAGGGATAACATTTTCCTGACCAGAACACTTTCAAGTTGATTGGTATTAATAAGCAGATTATTTTATAGCTGAAGAAGGGGTTGCAGATCACTTTCATCATCAATTGAAGTGCCCATTATTTTTTAGATTAATAAATTAATCGCTTGGTCTATTAAAAGTTAGAAAATAGTAAAAACCAAATCCATCCTAGTTTCTCAAGGTCCAATGTGCTGTTTTTAACATTAGATATGTATCGTCATTCCAAAAAGCCAAAGCTTCAGGTTTCGGCCGCCCTTAGCATCGCAGATTTTAAAAAATGGATAAAAAACATCAAGTGTGTCATACAAGTAGCAAACCTCTTTAAGGAATAACTCATGATCAATTTACATTGGTATTTTATGTTTGGAGGATAACGAACAAGTTATTGCAATACAGGAATAACCCAAATACTGTTTGTGTTAATTTAGAACAAGTAATGATGCATCACATAGCTGATTTGTAAAGTGTCCTGCTCAGTATGCATTTAAAAACTAGACCGTTAAACATGCGTTAAAGTTAATACAAATAACTCTGTACCACCAAGTACATTTAAAATATATATATTTTACTCAGTATCAAGCAGGCTATAATATTAACATTGAATAATGTTAACGGTCAAAACCTTGTCACAGTGACAACTTGTGTTGTATACACAGCCTGAAATACACCGATACACATGCATCCGTCACATGAATGAATATCATCCAATAAAATCAGCTCTTCAATGTCACTTGTGTTTCATTTAAATGCCTTCAAGTACTCTCATAAATTAAACTAGTCTCAGTGAATAATAATAACACAGAAAAACTGAAGGCAAAAGAGTGTGCCTGTTTTTGTACGATTATTCATTCACCCAGAAACGTGTTTCTTACAGTCTTACTTTAGTATTAATATCAGTTATATATTTCCATTTCTAAAAGAAATACAACACTGGCAAGGATACGATGATTTCTACTGCTTTTTATAGTTCTGCTATTAACGGTTTTGGAGCAACAACTATAAAAGGTCTAAATCTTTCTAGATCCCATTTTGTTACATTTTAGCAGAGATTAGCATCTCATTTAGTCTAAAAGATAAAGGGTTATCCAGGGAAGTTAATGTAATTAAATATATCATATCAAAATATACGGAAAAAAGGCAAATATGCTCTTCAAACTAAGCACAATAATATTGTGTTTTACTGTGATATTAGTTTTAACACTAATTCGTAAAACTCTGAATTTTTTTAACAAATACACATTTCTAAAAAGAGGTTTCTTTAAAGTAATACATGGGCTGGTTTTGATTTATTTTATTTTTGACTAAATCAAATCCCATTAATGCCATAACTAATACAAAGGGGTTGCATGCGTTGTGCCACTTCAATATGAATGTACCTTTGAACAACATGTCCCTACTCAAAGTCAACACACACTCATGCACATACAGATCCCAACACACTGCATTCATCACTTGAAAAGGGAGACAGCTCTGATAAACACGCGGTAAGATCCTCAAAACACATTAAACTCTGAAACAGTGTGTAAAAGTCACAAACTTATGAATTACATAAAAGCCACCATGGAAAACATCCAAACAATGAAAAGTGTCTTGAGTTAGCCATGGACGGCATCAACTTTAACCTCTTAAGATTCCGACATTAAAAGTATAATTCATTACAAAAAGAGTATGTGCCAATAGTTAAAAGATTATTTTGCTGCTGAAGCAAACGTGCTGGAAAAAACCTATAATCTGTTTTTCTCATTGTTATTAGAGGAGATAAAAATGTCATGCCAAAGCCTTTTAGAGCAGAAACTTAAAAGAGGGTTTTTTATATATATATATATAAAAAATTTAAAAAAGTAAGACTGTGATATAATATCGTGTTGTTTATTTTCTTTGATGAATAATATAATAAAAAAGTTAGTTACCTAAATATAGCTTTTGCCCAATAATGTCAAAGATGATATACAAAATCACTTTTTTTTAAATTATTTTAATCCCTTTTGACAAAAAACTAATTTTGGTAGAGAATATAATAATAACTTCTATAACTATCAGTAAATGTTATACATAGGGCTGCAACTTTCAGTAATTGGAATTATTGATTATCAGTCAGCTATTTTCTAGATTAAATAGTTTGAATTTATAAAATGTCCAAGGTCACAATTTGCCTTTAAATGTATTTTTTTCAGTTCATAAACCCAAATACAGTCAATTTAAAAGGTCCCATGTCATGGCCATTTCTACTGATCATAATTCCATTGTTGAGGTATACTAAAATAGATTTATATTGTGCAATTTTCCAAACTCACATTGGTTTCTCATACAGCATCTCTGTATAGTATGTGTATTCACTCTCTGTCCTAAACGGCTTGTTGGAGCTCCTGCCCCCCCCCTCCCTGTGAGCGCAGTGGCCGTTTGCGAGACAGCGATACACAGCGAAACCCAGCCCGAAACCAGCCCGAGCGCACACACGCAGCCTGGCTTGGAGTTTGTGTGTGTGCTCACACACAGACTCACAGCCTCGCCGCGTCCCGCCGTCTCAGGGAGGAGAAATCGGCTGAGCTGCGGCTGAGAAAAGATTGAGTGTGTGTGTGTGTGAGGAAGTCTGCGGATTGGTCCATTTGGACCAACGTAACGGCTCCGCGGACGTAACGTAACGGCTCCACTTGGGTATGGGCACGTCACTGTACCCAGGAAGAAAAAGAGAAATCTCCAACAAGGCGTTCTGGGGCAGCATAGACAGGTATTTTCTGTGTTAGAGTTTTACTCGCTACAGGGTGTACTTTGGGGGTTTGTTACTTTGCAGACCGTTTACATGCATACAAACCTTCATAACACACAAGGGGACGGGTAATAACCGGAAAAGCATGACATGGGACCTTTAACATAATAATAGGATTGAATATAATATTTTCATTGATCAACAAATTATTGCACCCATAGACTGGATACATACAAGGTTGCATCTCATTATCTCCGTTTATCACTGAATAAAAGATTTTACATTTCTAAACACTTAACATTTGAACACGTTTATTATCCAATGAAATAAGCACTTCTATTTGACAAGCTCTGATACCAATAATTACGATTTAGACTTGAGTTTAAAAAACACAACCTATGCTACAAAGACAATATAAACACTATGTTTGACACACAGTGGTGCTTAAAGTGACTGCAAGCATTTAATTTCTGCCACTCTCCCATACTGTACATCTGCACTGCTTTTTATATCAAAGAGCTTTTAGGTCTCTTTCTTAATATGCACCATAACTATTCTCAAACAATAAAATATGACATACCTTACTAAAATGAATGCAAACTAATGTACATCTGCTGCTGTTAAACAAAATAAATATATGAGATTAGCATAGATTCTCTTTACTCAAAATGAACCTACTTTATAGCGTTATTTTTTTTAGCTCGAACCAAACATGTCCTAGCGTACAGCCAGAAAGATTGACTCTGGGTTGGTTGGCAGCGCTCTCCCTGAGAAACAACAGCTCAGCAGAGCAGAGCAGTCATTCCCTGTGTGCCGTCAGCTTTCATCATGCTGTGCTCTGCAGGCAGTGATGTGCACTGATAAGAAAATCCACATGATGATTCGACAGACACTGGCGATTTAACTTGAAACTATGGATCATTTATAATTAATATCTCTAAATGTTAGGATTGAAGCCTATAAAAGATATGCAGGGTACAATCATAGAAAAATAAATGTTCTGATGTTGTTCCTGCAGCCAACATATGCAATCAACTTCAACTTTAAGACAATTAAAGTAATAATGTGGATTCCCCCTTTAAAGGTCAAAGTTTTTAGTAATTTCTGTCCTTCATCTTACACTATTTTTCAATCAACTCTTCCATTCTCAAGAATTCAGCTGTATGAACAATGGTGACTCTGGCATATATGTAAATGTTTCTGTAAGAGGTTATGATCAATGTCTTTGCTTCAATACATACAAAAACAACAAATCTGCATCATGAAACAAAAGCAATGCATTCCAATAAATATTAAAAAATCCTGCTTCAAACACAATGTGTAACAAAGTAACCAAGGTGTATAGCCTTACAGCTATGATAAATTCTCCAAATTAAATAACGTTCCAACTAGCATTTCTTTCCAAAATCAGATGAGAATCTTAACTTTTGAAAAACCTGCAAGTGATGACTAAATAAAAAAAGATTCAACGGTTTCAGTAGGTCCTAGTCTGACAATTATTAAGAGGAAAAACCAACAGACCAAGTTTTGCGACATTTCATTCGAAAATTCTTCAAATGTCTCACTATCGAAACCAATATAGATGCTCAAATTATAAATAATACTTAAATAAAGCAGATACAACATTCAGTAAGTCCTGCATTCACCAAAATCAACGGTTAGAGCGAAACATTTGTTGTTCTGGCCACAATCCGCAAAAACCAGTATCAAAATAATTCTCTAGAAAATTGTAAACGATTTTTGTGATATTATAAAAACTGGTGTAAGGTTGGAAGCCATGCACATTTCTCTACACCTGCTATAAGATAACTGAATACATACTGAAATTAGAAGTAATAAGATTGTATAATAAATCCTAATCGCAACAACAGAAATACTATTCAGTACTTAAGAATACCAAAGCAACAGATACTACCTGTGATTTCACAAAACAAGCGATAAATGGATTATACTATAATCTGTTTAGAGGCACAAGCTAAATACATGACAGCAGTTCAGTGGCTTTACAAATGTAGTACATTTAATTAACTAATTCAAAGACCCCATTTTAGACAATGGCAACTTTGGGGGCTTTCAAAATGACAGTTATTTTTTCCTTATCGATTACTCTACGCACTCAAACACCAGGTCAAAATGGTGGTTAGTAAAAACCTATACTGATAAACCTATAACTAAAAACAGTTTGATATTTTAAGTATATTCAGCAGGCAGTGGTATAACACAACAACAACAACAACAAAAGACTGTGCCACAAATAGAAGTATGCACTCAAAGAAATTCCCTGTAGTAAAGTATTAGCATCAAAATAGCCTATTTAAAGAAAAAAGTGCCGTTAGTGCAGGGTTAATCTATCATGATACTTCTTAATTTACTCGTATGTTGTATTCATCTAAATTTGCAAAGTTGTTATTAACTAATGTTGAAAAATAAATGCTATGGAGTAAAATATAAAGTATTGCCTTCCAATATTTGGTGAAAGATACAATGCAGTATTCAACCAAATCTTCAAAACTCTACCCAAGTAAAGTACTTGAGTAATTGTACGTAGTTACATTCAAACAGTAGGTAAGAAACCAATGTAACAATACGTGGGAAAAGTTTGAAAAAATATGAAATGGTACTGCTGTCAAGTGTATCACTACTTTAATTACAACGTGACATCGTTTTTAGCTCCTGGAACCTGAGGTTGATCGTCTAATGCTTAAAACAAATGCATATTTCAGTAATAGTGCACTTTCCCTTCACCCTTTTAAAATATTTACTTAAACTATCAGCCACTTGGTCGCTTCAACAATCATGCATGTTAGACGACCATTATTGAACTTGCACACATCTTAAACTATACCACCCCGACTAAAACTGATATGTAATACAATCAAACTAAACACCTTCTACAACATTTATCTCCAGAATCCGTCCTTTGAGATAAGCAGTGTGGTGCATGGCAATTATTCTTGAAAAAAACAGCATGAACCCCGGGAGGCCCAACTGTAAACAGTGCCATTAGTGAGACCATGGGTAGCATTAGCTTAGCTAACATTAGTGACTATTTTTAAGCCACGATTGCAACACATGTCTTTATTGAAAACATCGATTACACGTTTTAAAACTGAATGCATCTATAAAGCAGTGCATTGCACTTCTCGCAAAGCTATCACCAGTAGCTGAATTTGGCAAGCTGATCACGGTCAACGCAGAAATGCATTAGAATTAGCTTAAGTGAGCTAAGCTAGCGGATTTAGGCTCAGCTACTCACATTTCTTGAGCCACTTCATCCAGTAGCGAACGACCAGGCTGTGGTGCTTCTTGTTTTCAATGCACCAGTTTGAAAGTCCTTGTATTGACTCCATAGTGTTGGAAACTCCTTGAAACCGTCGGTCCAAAGACCCTTCCAGACCAGCGTTGGAGCTGCGGGCTCCTGCAGCCCCTGAACCAGCCGCCATCTTTTAGTCTGTCGGCTGGTGCTGCGCATGAAGGAGCTAACGCGAGCAGGACGGGGAAAACAACACGCCCCCATGTTGCACTTTTATTTTAAACGCATTGCTGACTGCATTTATAAATCACAATCAGACCAGATTTATCACCAAGTAGGTTTACACATACGAGGAATTTGCCTTGATGTATAGGCCTATACATCAAACAAAGTTAGTTAAAGATAAACTGGAAGAAAAACGACCAACAAAAAATAATATTCAAAAATAAATCAAAACGACTATTCTTATATGATAAAATACTAGGAATACTGAAATAAAATATGTGCATTACTGCTACGAAAAGTGGAGAGCTGTGCAGACATTACAAGAGATAGCTTTGCATACAAATGTGCACATTATTCAGAGGGTTGTGAAGGACTGACAGTACTTAAAAGAAAGAAATAAAAACGAAATGTAGTTCGCATAGTGTGCATTAATACAATGCAGTGTATATGGAGTGGCTGAGGATAGGTGGCAGTGGGCTTTGTTAATGAGGTATGTACAGAATATAACTTGATAATTATAAAACTTAAATGTCAAATTAAATATGATTGGCTTGATTCAAACTAGCGGAAAGAAGAGGCAGGAGTCGGTTGAACGTTGTTTATTCAAGGCTGTGACTGTAACGTTAGAGAAAAGAAGTTACAGCTGAGTCAAATTTGTTTGTTTCTCAAAAACATTTAAAAAAAACAACAAAAACAGGGATTTTTAACTTTACATTCTGTGAAATGTACCTGTAATGACTCAATAGGTTGTACTTGTATGACAATGTAGTTACATTACCCATGACTCCTTCCAGGTTTAACATCTAGTTGCATTGGTTTACTCTACATGTGTTATTACAATAGCAGTATTGTAATTCATTGATGGAGTGGTTTGTAGTAAATGCTTTGACTCAAAAGAATATTTTCAGGGGGACTTCATCACAAAAGTCAAAACATAATCTGACAACATTGCTCATCATCACAAAAAAGCCTTAGGTAAGTGATTTACATCACACAGTGCAATCTGTCAGATTGTATTCAATAACAGACATCACAATAGCTGACAGAATAGCCTACCAACAAAGAGATGAACATCGACGCAGGCATAAACACACTCACTCATCTGTCACACATTCTTGCAGACACATCCACACAGGTTTATTGTTCCGCCTTTTGCTATGTTCACGTCTCTTGATTAAGTCTGTATGTCCTCATTTGAAGGCAGCCGGTCAGCAGTGAGGGCTGACCGGCTGTGAGGCCGGGGATCCGGGGGCTTGTAGAAGGTTCAGGTTCAGGTTCAGTTATGGAGGTTTCAGTCGTCTGTGCCGTCCAACACACTCTGGCTGAGAGCGAGATCCCAGTACTGTTCTGTGCCGTGTTTCTTGAAGTGTTCTCTGGCCATGTTCTCTGTCGGGCACTGCTTGAACTTCATCTCCCCCTTAAAGTTGCGCTCTTTAGCTGTGCCCTGGAGATCCAAGATGAACCATTAGAATTGAATACAATAAAAAAAAGATCTATATTTAAGTTGTATAAGATTTTGTGAACACTTACTTCCCAAATCAACCAGCACTTGTTGTTTCTTTTTGCATCATCATCACCATCAAGTCCTAATGGAGAAACAGTGGTAAAGAGTTTAGTTTTCCTTAAAAAAAGAACAAAGGCACAACAACCAGCACACAACATTAAGTCAAGCTACTCTTACCTTCTCTTTTACTGTTGTGCTCCACCCATTTGATTCTGTGCATCATCAGCCTCTTGAACTTTTTCTGGGATTTAGGGCCTTAAAGGAGGAGAGAGAAACATTTGTTTAGTACAGATCCTTGCGAAATGCAATGATAACTTCAATAAGTTTCCTAATGAAATTGAAAATACTTCTGATGAACTGATTATTCACTCAAATGTTGTGAATTACCTAAGAATTGTATTTAAAGGTGGGGTAGGTAAGTTTGAGAAACCGGCTCGAGATACACTTTTTGTTATATTCCATGGAATGCTCTTAACATCCCGATAACAATGAATATCTTAAGTGCTTTGACAAAAAATCCATAAAAAAATGTCATCTGTGGAAGCCGTAGTACTGTAAAAAGCACGACCAATCATTTTAGCCGGCTCGGCTAAAATAACTGGATGGCCTACCTGCCTGTCAGCCTTCCATCTGTGCACAAACTTATCTCGTGCCCTCATTGGTCATGTGCGCGTTCGTGTGTGTTGGAGGAGGGGCTCTGTAAGGAAGTGGCAGATTTTTTCCGGCTGTGTATTTTCAAATTCTAGCGCACTCGAGCTGCTTTCTCCAAAATTACCTACCCCACCTTTAAGTCAAAATAATCAAATGCTTTTTTTCAAATCTTCCAACTCTTCTTTCATGTCTCTAGCGGTAAGAGAGAAATGCAAACCAAATGCAAGACTAAACAATAAAAAGCTTTGAGACAATTATAAACAGCAAACAAAAACATTCCAACATTTTAATGGATAAATATAGCGTAAAGTCTGAGGAAAAATACAACCTGAAAAATTAGATTTTTTAAAGGGGACTATTTATTTATTTGCATTGACAGGTCCGAGTTGCCTCACCTCCTTCCACCACGACCAGATTGACGTCTCTGTGCAGAACCACTGTGCCTGTCAGGTACAGCTGGTTGGCGTTGGCCTCCACTTTAAACTTCTTGGCAGGATTTTGCAGGTAACGGATCCTGTACAGGGAAGGCAATACATCTGAATTAGACAAACTTCTATTCTGCAACACAAATTGCACAATGTACTAAAAACAGTATTTGGTCTGTTGCTGCAGATGCGCACCTGTACACTGCAATGTGAACACCATCAGTGAGGTCTTCTTTTAACCTCTTGACCGTCTTCTCTTTCCTCTGCTCTGATGTGAGCTTTCGGGCTGAGTTGGCATCCTCGTGAGCCCTGCAAAGAGGAGGAAAATATTAGAAAACCTTCAAGAAAAGGTACTGTTTTGATCACACAATGTTACAATGGATTATTGGGGAAATGAGGAGAGAGTGAAGCTGTGTGGAGCTAAACATATCAACTCACTTTTGTCTCTTGGCCATCTGCGCTCTGACGTGGGCTTCAACCTTCGTGGGATCCTGGACTGCCTCCATCCCCAGCACTCTCATCAGGTTGGAGATGCGCACTAGTGAAATAAAGGAAAACATCAGTTACATTCTGGAGAGTATTAATTATCAAACGTTTTTTATAACAGTAATCCTGTGTGTGGGTACCTTTTGGTTCTGGTGGAGGCATCAGCCCCAGACGAACCTTCTCTTGAACTTCTTTTTGTCCCTCCCTTCGTGTCTGTCTTCTCAGTTTCTTCTGTTCTTTCTTTGTGAGGTAAACTCCCAACGTTACCGACTTATCTGTATCAACTGAGGGACAATTCTTTTTTTTAAAGACATATATACATTTATATATTCTAACAATTGAAATAAATATTTTGTTTAAAGGAGTTGTATTTGCTTCCAGTCAGGGTAAAGGTGTATAATGTTCAATCAAATATTAGAGCATGCCCCTTCAATGGTTTGCTCAGGGAAAATGTATCACACACACAAACAAACACACTACTGAGCGACATCAATTGTATACTTTTTTACATTGCAATTTTTTCGGATTTTTATGTAGTCTGAAACAATTTGTTATCGCTTAGAGCAGTGGTTCGCAACTGGTCAGGCCTCGGGACCCACTTTTTCCTTTGTCAATAAATCGCGACCCGAAATTTTGAACCACTCAAATCTATTTATTTTATTTCATATATTTTGAATATATATATATATATATATATATATATATATATATATATATATATATATATATATATATATATATATATATATATATATATATATATAATATCTGTATGTATATTTTCTATTTTGTATTTTGACATGTATATTTTATATTTTATTTTATATTTTATTTTATTTTATTTCTATTCTTGTATATTTTGTTTTATTGTAAAATGCCTTTTATGCTGCTGTAACAAAAACAATTTCCCAATTTGGGATCAATAAAGTACGATCTATCTATCTATCTATCTATTCAACAAAAAGTCGTGCTGTAATTTATACGCTTTTCAGCATACAATATTAATTAAAGTGAAGTACAGGGCATATATCCCTCATATCCCTTCACAGAACTAAAGTATGCTTTAAAAAAAGGTTTAACAAGATGATGGAATCAAAACTGAACTGTATAACATAAAAAGGCACACATGCTGAAAACCCATCCCCAGAAGGGGGTCTGGGGTCTATTCTCCCCCAGGAGATTTTTAAGAAATACTAACATATAAACTACGCATTCTGGTACACTCTGAGAAGAAAATAAATAAATCTATTACTACCCGACATATTAATAATATTTTATGCCATTGTTTGTTTTTCACTTTGTTCTGACAGCTGAACTTGCTGCTCCACACAGAGAGAAGAGCAAAGAGAGAGTCTGTGTGAATGACTTTAAATTGTGGGTAAGGGTAGATAGCTCCCATTGTTCTGTGACCTGTCAATCATCAAACTGGGGGTCGTATTTCATTATGTGTTCATTTTTATCTGAAGTTGTACCCATGGATGTATAAAGAATAGATCTACCGCAAAGTTATTCTCCGTGGGGACTTCCGGCAACAATCTTGATTCTGATTGGCCAGAAGACTAAAAAAAACATAAAAACCGTTGATGGTCTTCGGTACATCCAGTCCAACACCTACTGCATGCACAGCGTTAGAAAATCGGGCCTTCAAAATAAAAGTTTGACTTTTTTCCACAAACAAAAAAAGAATTTATTTTTCTTCACTCACACATCTGCGACCCATTCAAAACGGGTCCCCGACCCACCAGTTGAGAACCACTGGCTTAGAGTGAACTGCCACCCCATGATGGGACAGCATTGGTTGATAGCACATTCAACTGCCTTATTTTCACCTTTCATACACTCACCTGGAGAGTTAATTTGGGCAGGATGCTCTACAAGATTGGTCACACCGAAGAGCTCCATCTCTTCA